CCATCAGGCTGCCCTGGCCACCGCTCAGCCGGCTGCCTGGTGAGGAAAGCCGACCTTTCCCCAGGGCAGAGGGAGGCAGGTAGGGGCCCCGTGGGCCCGGTGGGGATGGCCCGTCAGGCTCCCGGGAAGTGACCAGGCCTGGGAACACGTGAGTCATTGTTTAAACTTCTGTATACTTGGCAGTGTCTGTGTGTGTGTGTGTGTGTGTGTGTATGTATGTGTGTGTGTATCCATGTGTGTCTCTGTGTGTATATGTGTTTGTGTCTGTGTGTGTGTCTCTGTATGTGGATAAGTGTGTGTGTGTCTTTGTCTCTGTGTGTGTGTGTGTGTGTGTGTGTGTGTGTGTGTGTGTGTGACTTTGCCTGTGTGTGTGTACCCACACATGAATAATCACAAGGGCACAGTGAGGGAAAGGAGTCTGTGGAACTGAGGGCCACGGTGCCGTGTAGGAGCCGGGTCAGGGAGGTCCGGGTCCCGGCAGGAGATTCCTACGTAAATTGCAGTGACAGGGCTTTCAGGTAAAGTGCTCTCAGCGAGGAGGAAGCAGGTGCTCAGTCAGTCGGGAACGGAGGAACCTCACAGTAATCTCCGTGTTCTTTCTGTGCTGGGAGGGTCACACAGGGGACACCTGAAGGGAGACTCAGCGAGCCAGCCCCGCCCTGGAATGTCCTCACCCCTAGGTAGGCTTGCAGTCCTTTCTTTCCCTGTGGGAACAGGAGACGGGCTTGTAAGAAAGGAAAGGCCCCAAATCAGGATGCTGGAGAAGGAGTCTATTAGCCCTCTCACCAATCTGCATTCCTGGAGCATCTCGGTGACAGAGACTTCAAAGACCCACATTGATTAAGATCTGGAGGTGGGGCCAGGCCTGGAGTTTTCAATTTCCTCTTTGAACAGAGGGCTTCCACCTCTGATTATTGAAAGCTTACAACAAAATTTATATCACACAAAAATTATACATTAAAATGCTCACTGAGTCTGATTCATTACAGAGGAAAGAATCAAAACTGAGAGATGAACCAGTGGTAGTAAAATGGTTCATTAAATTAGAATAGTTGTAGGAAGGTGACATGGTCTTTGAACATGCATAACAGGTAGCAATGTGTAAAGCTGCCTTTGATACATGCCGTAGTTGTTTTAAAGGTAGGGTGCAAAAGTATATGTTAAACTATGGTTTTTTGGTTTGTTTGTTGTTATGATTCATTAAAAAAAAAAACTAGAAGAAAGTAAGCAAAATGCTATTCCTGGTTGTATTAAGGGTATGGGATTATGAGTGACTTAATTTTTTTCATATTGAGGATGATGTATTTATATTGACAGTAAAATAACATTTTCCAACAAAGGTGTCGCATTGCCAAAGGAGTAAGACGCTGGCACCTGGAATTTCAGAAATGGTCTATGCATTCAAAGCCCACCTACGTGGCTAATTAAAACGTGTTTTCGGCTAAAGATTTTCTTGACTCAAGAAGAATTTTATTAGCTGGTACCCAAAGATAGCAAGGAGAACTTGAGGGCTATCGATGGGGAAGGATGCATCTCTGTGGGTGTGTTAGGACTTCCTGTGTAGAATTACAGCACAAGTCAATTGACCATCTGCTCCTAAGCAGGTGCCTTACGTACCTCCAGCGAGAAACAGCGGACAAGCCCGGGAGGCACAGAAAGCTCGAGGACTCCATTCTGAAAAGGGTCCCCCCACCTTCCCGGCTGTTTTTAGTGTAACTGATGTATAAGACAGCGTACGTTAAGGCGCGTAACATGTTGCATTCATCTACTGCAACACGATGACCACCGTCCGTCAGGTGATCCCTCCTGCCCATCACTGAAGTGCTATTCTTTTGTGGTGAGAATTGAAGATCTACCCTCCCAGCAACTTTGAGGTATAAAATACAGTTTTGTTAGCTGTAAACTCCATGCTGGACATTAGAACCCCCAGAATTTACTCATCTTAATACCGGGTGTTTGTACTGTTTGATCAGTATCTCCCCATTTCTCCCAGCCTCTGGTACCCATCGCTCTACTCGCTGCTTCTCTGAGTTCAGGGGAAGAGCCGTTAGTAAGTTAGGACTTGATGCTTTTCTTGACCACTGCGAGCTGAGCGGCTGGAGGCCCTTCTGCTCCCCGCTCTGCCTGTACCAGTTCACCACATGCCGGGCTGCCTGGTGTGACTCGCTGAGCAAACCGTGCTCTGGAAACAGCAGTCTGTCCAATGAGGGCTGCTTGCTAAGTGAGCCCGTGTGGGTTTCTGAGATATTTATGGAACACCTACTGTGTGCCCCAGGAGTGCAGTCCTTGCACTCTTGAGTGGCTGCAGCCTGGAGGGTGGGGGGTTAGGGGGTGGGGTGGGGAGGAAGCAGATAGTAACAAAATAATTATATAAATTAAACCTCATTGGAGGTTACAGCCCAGCAAGAGCAATAGGCATTACAAAATTAGTTCTGCGAATGAAGGTAGAGTTAAAACTGAGATAATTTCTCTGGAGAAGAGGAGCAGGATGCGTGGGCCATGACGTCTGTTTTATTGACTGCTATTTATGGGGACTGGACACATGATCGGGGCCAGGCTGGCAGCTGCGGGGCCAGAGAGGAGGCGGCAAGCGAGGGAGATTTGTATCAACCCCAACAGAGAGAAGCGAACAGATCAACAGGCAGACCCCGGAGGCCGACCCAGTGTGTTTGACGGAGAGTTGTTGGAAACTCTCTGGTGATGTTGAACTCTGACCTCTTGTTATCTCTCTGGGCTTCAAGGGAGTCTGGCTTGTTGAATCCCCAGGGCTCTGAAGTCCATTCCTGGAAGCCAGCTGGCTTTCCAGGTGCTTTCCCGCTCTCTCAGATTGTGTATGTTGCCTTTGGGTTTCATTTTCCTCTTACCGGGGTTAGATTCCGTGGGATGAATTGCTGGGAGTTCGGCATGGGTGGGTGGGCTCTCCGAGAGCAGAATGCTCCCCAGCACCCTCACTGAGTGCCGCTGGGTCTGTGGGATGCAGGAGTCCTGGGAGCCAGTGCCCCGATACCCCAACAGGCCCAGGCAGGTCCGGCCAGGTCTTGGCCAGATTGCTCCTAGAGTCTGCCTCCTGCTAATTCTCAGCAGAGACCCAAGTCCCTCCTCTTCTGCCTCAGTCTCCGAGAAATTTCTCAGTTCAGGCAAATATTTCAAAAGATTGGTGTTTTGATGGGTTATTTGCCTTTCCTTGTTTTCCACAGTACTCTGTGTTTCCTTCCCTTCTTCCCTCCCTCCCTCCCTCCCTCCCTCCCTCCCTCCCTCCCTCCCTCCCTCCCTCCCTCCCTCCCTTTCTTCCTCGCTCTCTTCCCTCTGTTATTTATTTATAAAATATATTTTTATTGATTTCAGAGAGGAAGGAGGAGGGAGAGAGAGAGAAGCATCAATGATGAGAAGGAATCACTGATCGGCTGCCTCCTGCATACCCATCACTGGGGATCCAGCCCACAACCCAGGCATGGGAATCGAACCATAACCTCCTGGTTCACAGGTCGATGCTCAACCATTAGTTATGAAAATCACTGTTAGTACTGTGACAAAAACGGACAAAATCACAGCAGTGATTCTCAACTTTATCAGTGAAGGGAATCAAAGGTTTGCCATCTTGAAGCTACCTTTTGGGATATTGTCTTTAAGCTGTTTATTAAAAAAGAAAGAAAAGACTCAGAAAGAACTTTTGACCCTGAAGAGGTTTAGACAACGGGCTTCAGGAAGGGGGCCTTGTCTTCATGACCTTAAGAACCTTTGCTCTCGCTCTAGTCAGGAAGATTCCTGGCCTGCTCACTGGGTACCAGTGTCCCTGGGACTCTCCTGCTGTGTGTGTGTGTGTGTGTGTGTGTGTGTGTGTTTTCTACTCTTCCTCAACTACCTGCAGAAGGTCCATAGAATGGTAGCCTTCCTCTCTATGTGCTCGGTGTCTGAAAGTTTCTACCGTGAACAAATATTTGGTATTTGCCCAAACTTATTTTGACCACAGAGCCGTTTTCCTGTAGGGCACCTCAGGGTGGGTTCGAGGTCTTCAGAAACACAGGAAGGCTAATGTGTTTTGAGATCCTTGAAACATCAACTTTAAAATTTTTTTTTAATTTTTGTTTTTAAATATATTTTATTGATTTTTTACAGAGAGGACGGGAGATGGGTAGAAAGTTAGAAACATCCCCACTGGGGATGTGCCCACACCCAAGGTACATGCCCTTGATGGGAATGGAACCCAGGACCTTTCAGTCTGCAGGCCAACGCTCTATCCACTGAGCCAAACCGGTTTTGGCCCAACATTTTTTTTTAGACATATTTTTGAAACACCAACCTTTTTAGGTAGATTTTTTAAAAAAAATCCTCACCCTAGTATATATTTCCATTGATTTTTTTTTTTTTAAAGAGAGTAGAATGATAGATGGGGATGGGGGTGGGGAGAGGAGAGAAAAAGAGAGAGAGAGAGAGAGAGAGAGAGAGAGAGAGAGAGAGAGAGAGAGAGAGAGATTGCCTTCTGCATATTCCCTGATCGGGGCTGGATCAAACCTGCAACTCATTGGTGAGCTGGCCGTCGCTCTAACCACTGAACAGCCAGCAAGGGCTAGATTTTTTTTTTTTTTTTTTTTTTAATTCGTTCACCCTCAACACAGAGATAACTTTACTTCTAGGATGTTTTAGACACTTTTAGGAAAAAGGTATAGGTTTTTAAAAGGGGAGGATTAGTGGAATGATGACCGGCCCACCATGGCCTGCAGCCCTTTTCATACAGTGGTCTCTGCCAGGCACCGCTGACATGCTTTCCATACACAGCTGCTCACGACATTCCTCACAGCTGGCCCATGCTCTAACCACTGAGCTCGGTCTCCCGCTTTCTCGATGAGGAGATGGGTGCAGAGTGCAGCAGTGTCCTGGAGCTCCAGCAGTCCCTCCATCTGCCACCCATCCCAGGCTGTCTGCACTCTGTTGGGAGGCAGTGCTGCAGGGTGAAAGTGCTAAGGTTACTTAGTGGCAGATGTTATGTGTCTCCACAGGCCATGGCGCAGGCGAGTGGGCCCCCCCAGGCCGGGGCGGGGCAGCCCTACGTGTTCAAGCTGGTCCTCCTGGGAAGCGGCTCTGTGGGCAAGTCCAGCCTGGCTCTCCGTTACGTGAAGAACGACTTCAAGAGCATCCTGCCCACCGTGGGATGTAAGTGATGGACCGACACCCTTTCTTAGTCTCCATGGGAGAAGCCAGGGCGCCGACCCAGGCAGAGCACACGGGGCAGATGTTCGTTGTCTAGAGCCTCAGGCATCCTGGGCCCAAGCAGGGAGGGATGAGGTCCCGGTGGGGAGGCACAGCAGCCTCCAGAGCTCATGGGAGTCTGCAGGGGTGAAGCTTTAGGGCCAGGGCCTCTGGCCCCCAGTGGTTGGGTGTGGGGATTGTGTCCAGGCTCTGCCTCTCAGTCTCCCTCTGCTAAGCACTGCCCTGGGCAGATTACCTGTGAGCAGTCCCCTTTCTGCCTGGATTGGGGTGGGGCTGTGTGTGGAAGGGACAGTAGAGCCAACCCTCTCACAGCACTTCTGACAGAGACTCCAGGATAGGGCTCCCAGAGGTCAAGGTCTATGAGGTCTGCTGGGCTGTTGGCCTCCTTCACATCCCGCCTGGAGTGAAAGCCCCGATCCCCACCCGAAATAAGGAAACCCAGCATGTTCTTTACCCAGTCCTCCTGGGAGGCAGCGGGCAGGGTGGAGAGCCACCTCACCCAGAATCAGAGCTTTAGCTTCAAATTTGGACTCTGCCGTGGACAAGCCATCTGTTTCTCTGAGTCCACTCACTCATTCATGCACTCATCCGTCCATTCTCTAATATAGCGAGTAATCAGTGGGTTTCTGAAAATGAAGGTAATAAATGAGGGCTCTTTTCCGAGTTGGAGACAAGGAGTCTATGCAGTGAGGGTTAAAGGTTGCCTCCGTCCCGCCCAGGGCCCACTTGAGGGCCGGTGTTTCTCCAGGGAAGACAAGCTTCTGTCTTCTATAACAGCTCAGTCACTCCTGCCTCATCTCCACTCGGACTGAAAACCCCAAACCCCTTGAAAGTTCGTCGGGACTTTCTATTGATGGAAGCAGAGTCGCTGCCATCATTTTCAGATGAAAAGGGGAAATGTCAAAAGCTTGGCTATTGAATGGAGGAGGTGACCTTGAGCTTTGGTGCCCACGTGCAATGACTTTTAAGGTATTAGGTCTAGTAATAATTAATGTCGTTTTCTAATACTTTTTTAAATCGAATTTATTTAAACAATACAACAAAATTTAGTCAACAATATAGTTGCCGTTGTTTTCTACTACTTGTGCCCAACGCTCAGGAAGCATTTTAATCCCTCTGTTGTAAAATTCTTGTGATTTTGATGCAAAAAATCCGGTCAATGCATTTTTGAGGCATTCTTCATTATTAAATTTTTTTCCAAGAAGAAAGTTTTGCAAAGAACGAAACAAATGGTAATCGGAAGGGGCAATATCAGGAGAATATGCAGGTTGAGGGAGAACTTCCCATTCCAACTGGCGCAGTTTTTCAGCAGTGATTCTTGCAGTATGCGGTCGTGCGTTATCGTGGTGAAGAATTACACCCTTCTGATTAATCAGCGCGGGTTCTTTTTCTCTTAAAGCTTGGGCTAACCTTTCCAATTGGGCACTATACATTGCACTTGTAATGGTTTGGTTAGATGGTAAAAGTTCATAATGAAGAATTCCTTTAAAATTCCACCAAACACACAACATCACTTTTTTCACATGCAAGTCAGGTTTTGGCGTGGGCTGCGGAGCCTCATTTTTGTCCAACCATTGAGGCCGCCTTTTCAAATTAACATACAGCACCCATTTTTCATCTCTGATAACAATTTGCTCTAAAAACGGCAAACGGTTTTGACGAGAGAGGAGCGAACTGCAAATTGTGACTCTTTGATTACGGTTGTTGTCGGTCAACTCATGAGGAACCCATTTTCCAAACTTTTGGACTTTGCCAAGTGCACGCAATTGATTGGAAATTGTTTTTTGTGAACAATTTAAAGTTGTCGCAAGCTCTTGTTGGGTAATTTGAGGATTTTGCACCAAAAGAGCTTGAAGAGCTTCTTGATCAAAATTGGACACACGGCCTCGACCACTCTTGTCATCTAACGAAAAATTTCCCTCACGAAATTTCTCAAACCAACGCTGGCATTTTCTGGCGCTAACTGCATCTTGACCAAGAGCACTACAGATGTTTTTTGCAGCCTCACTTGCTTTTCTTTCTAATTGGAACTCGTAAAGCATGCAGTGCCAAATATGCTCTTCATCCGCTATCTTCTTAGCCCTAGTTTTGCAACAAAAACCAAACCAAACACAAACTTTTTCAAGCAAAACTTGTTAATTGCACTTCACACGTTCTGTAGATACCACGTGTTTGAAGGTTATGTCAATACAAGTCAACGCCAAGCAAGATTTTAAACGAAGGTTAAAAAACGACATTAATTATTACTAGACCCGATTCAACCAACATCAGATTCAGAAATGTGACTTGACATGGTGGAAAATGAACAAAGCATGTGGATAAATGGCTGACATTCCCTGCTCATTCGGGAGAGCAGAGGGCAGGCAGGGGGCTTCCTGGGGCAGCCCGACAGCCACCTGGCTGAGGGCGCCCTTGGCCCATGGCGAAGACGGGAGCTGAGCATTAGAAGGCTGAAGCGAGGGGGCAAAGTGTGCCGCTGACAGAGCCCCTCCAAGGCCCGTTCTCGGCCTGCACCCTCAGGACAGCAGTCCCACGGAGCACCTGCTGCGTGTGTCCATTTCCCTCCTGACCCTGAGCCCGAGTGAGCAGGGAGCCATTAGTCCCCACGTTGAGACAGAGACCACGGCTTTGTTTGACCCAGTCAGTCTGCTCCGGCCCCCGTTTTGGGGCTGGAAGTCGAGATCAAGGTGCCTGCGAGGTAGGTTTCTTCCCGAGGCCTCTTCTGCTGGTGTGTAGGTGGCGGCCAGCTAACTGCATTCACCAGAGCCTCCTCCTTTTGTCTATATGAGGGGAGGAGAGGATAAGGTGACCAGGGGTCCCGCTTTTGGAGGGACAGTCCTGATTTTTAACAGTTTGTCCCGCGTCCCGCGGCGTTTTAAAAAAGTCTCGATTTTTGGAAAGAATCTTTTAAATCTTTTGGACTTTTTTTTAAAATCCCGTGGGACACGGGACAAATTGTTAAAAATCTGGACTGTCCCGCCAAAAGCAGGATGTCTGGTCACCTTAGGAGAGGAGAGAAGAGAGAGGGGGCTCTCGGAGTCTCTCCCTATAAGGGCACTAAGCCCATCACAGGGGCCTCACCCTCAGGACCTCCTCTAACCTTATCACCTCCCAAAGGCCCCGCCTCTTCACACCATCACACTGAGGATTCGGGTTCAACCTGTGAATTTTTCGAGGACACAAACATTTGGTCCATACACGTAGGAAGTTTATCTGATTCAGGTTCCTGGACAAGCAGGAGAGTGTGGGGTGTGCCGGCAGAGGACCTGGCTGGCAGTCTCCCCAAACTGGAGTCTCCTGAGAGAATCAGGATGTTACCAGCTCTGAGCTAAAAGCCTAACCCAGCCCCGCCACGCCCTCTGTCTGCAGTGGGTGGAATTGTGCTTCCCAAAAGCCAGGAGCCTCCAGTGCCTGTGACTGTGGTCTTATTTGGAGAAGTCTTTGCGGATGTCATTGGTTAGGGGTGTTGAGATGAGATCGTGCTGGATTGCAGGTGGACCCCGAGTCCACCAACTGGGACCTCATTGGAACTGAGGGACTCGGGGAGGAGGCCATGTGAACCGGAGGAAGAGACGGGATGTGTCCACAGCCCAGGAACGTGGACAGGGCCGGCCCCACCACAGCCAGGAGACGGCGCGGAGAGGATTCTCTCCCAGAGCTTCGGGGGGAGCCTACCCCATGACGCCTCGACTTCTGACCTCTGGTCTCCAGAATGGAAACAATATTTTTCTGTCTTAAGCTACCCAGTCTGTGGTAATTGGGTACAAACTCTCTGCCTTGCAGTGAGGTGTAAATTTCAAGAATCCCAACAGGGCCCTCTCCTGCCCCCTCCCCACCCCTGTGCTGTTCTGTGTGTGACACACCCCACACGCTCTGGTTGGTGCTACCAACAGCCATGTGAAAATCACATCACCTTGGCCAGCAAAGCTCGGAGCTGTGAGTTCAGGCCCCGGGAGCCTATGTCCCCGCCCGAGGCCTCTGTGTGTCTATGAAGCGTCTGCAGCAGCTATTTGCCACATGTGGCTTTTGATGGGAACGGCCACCTCCCTGAAGAGGTGTTTGCTCAGCCTGACTGGTGGGTGGAGGCCGGGCCTCCAGATAAAGCTGCCCCTGGGCCTCCGTTCCAGGTGCGTTCTTCACGAAGGTGGTGGAGTTGGGTGCTGCGTCTCTGAAGTTTGAGATCTGGGACACGGCTGGCCAGGAAAAGTACCACAGTGTCTGCCACCTCTACTTCAGGGGCGCCAACGCAGCGCTGCTGGTGTACGACATCACCAGCAAGGTGAGGCTCACCCTGCCTGGCCTGTCTCCACACCCTTCGCACGGCATCTGCTGTGTTCTCCCTGCCTTCTGCCTGCAGCAGTGGGCTGAACTGTTTCCCAAAAGCTCTGCCAAATCTTAGCCTCCAGGGCCTATGAGTGTGGCCTCACCTGGGAAAAGGGTCTTTGTGGATGTCATTGGTTAGGGCTGTCATTGGTTAGGGGTGTCATTGGTTAGGGGTGTCATTGGTTAGGGCTGTCATTGGTTAGGAGGGCATGGCTGGTCCTCCCAGAACACTCTGCACCGCCATTCAGGACTCCCACTGATGACGGGGGGGAGGGGGGGGGAGGGGAGAGCAGGTGTTACAGAAACAGGGAGGCACAGCCCTGGCTGCACATCCCACACAAGGAGTATCACCGAGGCAGATGCTAAATACCAGTAAGCAGGAACAGGAAGGGCGGGGCTTGGGGGAGTCACGGGGGGGGGGGGGGCTGGAAGGTTCTAGCAGAACGTGGAGGGAGAAGCAGGGACAGCCCTGCCGGGTGGGTGGGGGCAGGGAGGTGGTGGGCAGGCGAGCAGGAAGGGAAGCAGGTGGACCTGCTGTAGGGAGGGGAGGGGCCTCGTGGGGCCCAGGCAGGAGCCCCACTACCTGGTCTGCAGGGCACTGCTGAGCCTCCTCGGACTGTCAGGGGGGGGACAAACTCCCTGTGGCCCAGACCCCCCGAGGTCAGAGACGGAGCAGATGTCCTCCTCATGGGACAGGCCGGGTGGGGTAGGATTGGGGGGTCGGGGGAGCTATCTGTCATACGGTCAATAGGACCAGAGCATGTTCTATACAATGTGGCATGGACACCTGCATTCCTGTCCCGGGATAGCTGATGAAGACTGCCCATAGATCTGTCTGAGGTTCTTCTTTCCTTTGTGAGGATTCCTTCTGCAAGGCTCAGCAGTGGCTGAAGGACCTGGAGCGGGAGTTCCTCCCTGGAGAAGTCGTGGTGATGCTGGTCGGCAACAAGACGGACCTCAGCGAGGAGCGGGAGGTGACCTTCGAGGTAGAACTGGGGGCGGGTCATTATGTCACCAGAAGGAGGAAGGAGAACCCCTCCCCCACTCACATGCACAGCCACCCACACGTATGCACACACACCTTTTCACTTATACACCCACAGGTACACACATGCACATTCACACATACACACGTGTTTGCCTGCACACACCCAAGCACCCACTTACATGCACACTCATCTCCCCCCACACTCAACCCACTCTGGAGATGAGGGTTTTAGAATTTTTCCTTGTGTCTAGTACATTTGTGAAGAAGTTAATTTGCTAGGGACTGAGCAAGGATAGAACATTTAAAGAGCTGTCGTTCTTCTGTTAAAGCACCCACCATGGAGGGGTAAGAGCATGGGACATGTGGGCAGGGCCTGTGTGGGGAGCCCCCAGCCCTCGTGACCGAGTCCTGGGCAGGCCCCATCCGGGAGCACCAAGTCACAGCACTGAGTCAGCTCCAGGGCTGCACCTGCCGCGTGGGACTTACTGCGAGGAGGCTCACCTGGGTCTCTCACCAGCTGGAGAATGAAAGTGGTGACTGAGCCACGTGTGGGGTTGGATCGGTGGAGAGAAGAGGTGTCGGCTAAGCGTCTGAGGGAACGCTTTATAAGTAAGTGCTGTGGGTTTCGTGGCTGTTTTCCTCAGGAAGGCAAGGAGTTTGCGGAGAGCCAGAGCTTGCTGTTCATGGAGACCTCGGCCAGACTCAACCACCAGGTGACCGAGGTCTTCAGCGCCGTTGGTGAGTGAGGGTCCCAGGGAGCCCGGGGATGGGGCCATCATGGGCTCAGCTGCATCAGGCCCTCTTTTCTGGCATCCTGGACCCAACAGGATGTCACTAGGGACTGGGAGGTATGTGGGAGAGTTGGGGCCTGAGCTTCATGGCTCCAGGGGAATGTCAGCGAGGGCTGGGCTCCTAGGACTGTGATGTGCAGGGCTGTGCAGTACTGAGGGCTCCCTCGTCCCCCTTCCCACCCCCTCTGTCTGTGCTCACAGCTCAAGAGCTGCTGCAGAGGGCCGAGAGGAAGGAGGACCAGACTCTGCGGGGAGATGCCCGGTTGACGTTAAACCAGGGGCCCATGGGGCGGGTCAAGTGCTGTGCCCGCTAGGGGCAGCCACAGCCACTTCAGGATGAGCCACCGCCAGCGCCATGTGGACGGTAGTGCTTGATTCTGCTTCTCCATTAACACTGGCCAGTTCCCGGGGGTGCCCGGCAGCTGGCATCTCTCAGAGGAACCATTCCCTAAAGCCTGTGGGAGTCATTCAGGAGAGGACGGTGTCCATGGCCTCACAACCTGCACCCAGACCAAGACCGAGTCCCAGCTGCCCAGGCCGGGGCACCCGCCCAGCCGGGCTGCTCATCCCCCCTGCTGCTCCCGACTGCGAGGAATGAAACGGGCCGGAGGGAACAGGGACCTGGTGCTGGGAGAGGAACACCTGCTTGTGGGAGTGGGGAGAGGACCGGACCGAGCAGGCGCAGGGGGAAGTGGCAGTGCTAGGGGAGATGGAGTGACGGTTTTCTAAAAAAAATTAAACTGCTTTTTATATATAACCTTGTCTCTGGTGCATTCACAAGGTGGGGGCTTTGCTGCACACATCCTAGGGGGACTCCTGGCGAGGGGCTCAGGAGGCGGTCAGGCAGCAGGCCATGACAAAGGTGGCACAGGACATCTCTCCAGTGTTGACACAGGTGCCCCAGCCTCGGCACTGCCTATCCCCTTCACCGAGGCCAGGTGGTCGCTGTGGGAGGGGAGCCCCAGTGGCAGGGGGAGCTGTCAGAGGGGCTGTTTTGGGGGATTGATGTTGGTTTTCATCCTTGCCTCTGGGACTAGGTTAAGCAGGTTTGGAATCTTAAATAGGATGTTGTTAGCATCTGAAAAGGGTGGCTTCGCTATATTGATTGTAAGAACGAACAGAGAGACACATGGAAAATTTCCAATCCCGTTGGCTTTGAACTTCTTGGCATTTAAAGGGCACCAGAATTTCTAGGAACCCCTCCTGTCTGCTCTCTGCTCTCATCCACCCTTTATGGGCACATCGGCCCAGGCCCTGGGCCTGGATCTCACGTGGGGCTCGGCTGGTGATGGGCTCTGGCAGGCAGCTGATCACACCATGGAGGCCTGGCATTGTCCAGGGGGCTGATCACACCATGGAGGCCTGGCATTGTCTAGGCTCCATCTCAGGAAGGTCACCACAGCATGGCTGTGTCCCTTGCCAAAGGTCATGGCCTCCCTCCTAAGTTCTGGCTGTTGCTCCCTCGTTCACCAATCAGCCAGGTGCCCAAGTCTCTCTGAATCGTCACACCTGGGCAAGCGTTATCCTAATGGCAGGGCCTGGGCTTCTGGAAGACCCAGCTTCTGTTCTGGGGAGATGGAAACAGCCCCCAGGTGTCCCGCCATTAAAACTGTCCTGGAGCTTATTCTAAAAGACACTCCAAGTGACCTTTCCAGACAAAAGCAGAGCAGATTTCCCAAGGTGCTTTCTTGTCATGACCTTCGGGAAAAGCTTAGGGATAAAGAAAAGGGCCTGATACCTTGGTTGTTTGTTTTTAAGTAAGATTTTATTGTTTTTGAGAAAGAGAAAGAGATAGTGATAGAGATAGAGATATAGATAGATAGATAGATAGATAGATAGATAGGTAGATAGATAGATAGACAGATAGAGATACATTGATGAGAGAGAATCATCCACAACATCCACTGGTTGCTTATTGCAGAGGATCACGCCCACAACCTGGGCATGTGCCCTGACCTGTAATCTTGGTGACCTCTTGGGTCAACACTCAATCACCAAGCAACACTTGCCAGGGTTACCTTAGACATTTAAAAAAAAAAAAAGATAATTTCACAGGTGAAATCTGACAACTTATTCCAATGTGTTGCAGTTTCTAACTGTAGTAAAGTTTGAGTTTTTCACAAATTATTCCCTTTGCTCCCCAGCCACCAGATGGCGATCTACTATCACTTAACGGACCAGTAGTTTTATTGCTAGCTTTACCCAGTGGACAGATAAGTTTTTATTGAACGAGTACAAAAAACGTTTTACATAAATGTTAAAGGCATGCTTTCAAATTAAATACCCATTGCATTTTGAAGTTATTTATTACATGTTCTTACAAGCTAATATCTTTTTAAAGAATTCTCGTGATTGGCCAAAAGCCTTAGAACAGAAAACATGTGAAGTCTCATGATTCATCTTCAGTGTGTTAATTAAGAGCAACCAGGCTGCTCCCAGGTCCTGAGTCTTCACTCTTAAATACAAGGCTTTCAGAGGAATTTCTGATGCTTTGATAGATGGGACAGAAGTATGGAAGCAAGCATGACATTGGTAGGATGCCCTTACATCTATGTCTATTTTACTCCCATCTTATCTAACTAGCACTACTGTGCTAGAATCTATTATTAAAGCGCCCTTGGACTCATTTCCACCAGGCCCCTCACCAGTGGCTGGGAGGCATTGTGGTCTGGGGCCCAAGTTCTCCATCACCTGGGATGTCATCTCCCCTTTCCCTCTCCTGTTCCCCAAGAGGCAGGTGGGAATCAACCCTGCACTGGGATCACCTGGCAGCCCTGCAAGCGGCACCCCTCGCCCAACTGAAGCTTTTGTTATATTGGTTTGCAGCTCTGCTTTGAGGCCTCCCTGGTGAACCCACTATTCGGGCATGGCGGAGGACTTCTGTGAGGGCAGAGGTTCTCTCTGTCCTTCCTTCTGGGGGGTGTCCAGTGCCTGTCCAGTGTCTGACACTCACAGGGTGCTCAACAAAAAGATAGGAATCATTCCCCACCCCTCCTCCACCCCCCAAAATCTAAAGAAAAAGGCCAGCTTTCTGAAAAAGGGCCTCCACTATAGCTAATACATTTATGGAAGGCTCTCTGTGCCAGTGTTCACCCACCTCATCTCAGCCCTTCCCAGAATTTTGGTGGGGGGCAGGCAGTGGTCCTGGAGCACAAAGTAGAGGGGGGCGGGTGGCTGGGGCAGGCAGGCATTCGTTGCTCAGATGCTTCAGGATAAATGGTTCTAGGACTTCACTGGGTCCTGGGGAGGCCAGTCTGTGAGCCACTGACTGCATGCAGCCCAGGAAGCGGCTCCAACCCTTCTTAGCCTGAGTGTGGACCTGGTGTGTGTGTGTGTGTGTGTGTGTGTGTGTGTGTGTGTGTGTGTACTCACGCACACACACCTCGGAATAACCCTGCTGACCTGTTTCTATTGACTGTCTCCTCTGACTCCCCTGAAAGAGCCCCTTTGCCCAGAGGGGTGACCCAGGGACCCATGCTTCTTATAAAATTTATTTACTACCTAAACTTAGGACAATTTGAGAATCAAAAATTATCTGGCCCAGCCCGGGCCAATGTGACTCAGTTGGTTAAGCATTGTCCCATGCACTGAGAGGCCGCATGTTTGATTCCTGGTCAGGGCACATGCCTGGGTTGCAGGCTCCATGCTCAGTAGGGGGTGTGCAGGAGACAGGCAATCCATGTTTCTCTCTCTCTCTCTCTCTCTCTCCTTGTCTCTCTCACTAAGTTAAGTAAAAACATATTTTTAAAAAAAGTATCTGTAAGGTGTTGAAAAATAAAAAAAGAAAGAAATATATCCATTGACGTCTCCGGCGAGCACGTGTTGAAGGCATTGGAGAGTCACCACGTGCCGCCCATAATGCAATTGCTGCTACTGGTAAGAATGTTAGTGGTGCTCCCATTTCTGGGGCTCGGAGAGGGCAGGGGCTGAGCTCTTAAGGAAACTGGGCTAGGGATCGCTGCGGTTGCACAGAAAACCCTTATAATTGGAAGATCTTCCTCAACTAAACAGTCGGACTTGGCATTTGCCAGGGTGGCCCAGGCCCCTCCATCAGAAGCGATGCCTCAGGAAGCATGGGGGGCACCGTGCCCACAGGGAGTGACGAAGTCCAGCTCTCAGGATGGGAACACGGGACAGAAGAGCAGGATAACATCAAAGAGCAGAAACCATCACCTGAGTGGATCATTCTACAAGATGGGAAGCCAACGTCACAACCAATAAAAAGAGCAGGCACTGAAATAACGAATGCAACTGTGGTTGTAGACTGGAGCCTACAAGAAAAGATGACGAAGACTCCCTGGCAACCTTGGGGATCTTTGGCTACACACTAGATGACATTACAGAACTATTAAAATTTGCAGGCATGCTAGTCATCTTGCGATTACGTCAGAGATGGTTCTTATCTGGAGGAGAAACATGCTGAGCTACGTACATAGGAGGAATGTCGTGACGCCCGCAGCTTCCTTTCCCAGCGCAGAGAGAAGGGGTGAAAGTGAATGCAGTAATTACTGTGGGAGCTGAGGGGCGGGTATGTGAGAGTCACTGTAATCACTCTCAAACGTTCTCATATGTTTGAAAACTTTCAGAATGAGGAGACGCAGGAAACATAAAATCTGCCACTTCATCTCTCTAGGGACAGAGATGTTGAGTATCAGGGCTGCCATAACAGTGTCAAACAACAGAAATGTCCCTCAGTCTGGACCCTGGAGGCCTGGGGTGAGGTGAGGACAGGGCTGGTTCCCCTGGGGCCAAGAGAAGCTGTCACAGGCCTCTCCAGCTTCTGGTGGTTTCCTGCAATCTCAGTGCTCCTTGGCATGTGGGACTTCACCCTCTCCACCTCCATATCCTGTCTGTGCCCCGATTCCCCCTTTCCCAGGGAATCCCCTTATTCCAGTATGACTTCATCTTAACCATTTATGGCAATAAATAACTGTTTCCAGGTAAGGTCCATATGGAGTCTGGAGACATAGGTCAGCCCATCACAGAAGGCCACAGCCTGCAATTGTCTGATGCCCAGCCCTCTGGCTTCCCTGTACCCAGAGGTGCTGAGTGCTGACCCTGCTGGCGGGTCAGAGGCAGAGCCAGGTTGAGCCACATCCTATTTACCTTGGTAAGGGCCTTACCTCAGGCCCTCTTGGGGGCAGGTCACCACCAGTGACCCTTTCACTGCTCCACCTGCACAGCCCCATCTGGGTGGTCTGGCCAGCTCTGCCTTCTCTCGTTGCCTGGTGAACTGTGGACCTGCCTTTTGCAAGTTGAGTTGGGCCAGCTGGGTCTGAGGTCTTGCTCTGGGTCCTGGACCCTGGGTCCTACT